AGCTGGCAACAAAAACCATGTAGCCTACTCAAGTAAAACAGTCATCATACTGACGCATTTGGCCAGAAAAAGCAAGACTAGATTACCCTATAGTATTTTCATATGTGACCCTGGAGCACAAAACCAGTCAAGTCGCTGGGGTATATTTGTACATTGCATGGGTCAAAATTATTGATTTTTATTTTATGCCAAAAATAATTAGGATATTAAGTAAAGTTCATGTTCCATGAAGATATTTTGTAAATTTCCTACTGTAAATATAATAAAACTTAATTTTTGATTAGTAATATTCATTGCTAAGAACTTCATTTGGACAACTTTAAAGGCGATTTTCTCAATATTTTGAATTTGTTTGCACGCTCAGATTCCAGATTTTTAAATAATTGTATCTTGGCCTATCTTAACAAACCATACATCAATGGAAAGCTCATTTATTCCGCTTTCAGATCATGTATAAATCTCAATTTCAAAAAAATTGACCCTTATGACTGGTTTTGTGGTCCAGGGTCACATATGAGTGAGACAATCATTTCATTTCAGCAATGAGTATACAAGTATTCAAATACTGATGATTTGTGTTCATGAATATGCACATTACAACTTCAATTTAGGGCTCCTTGATGGAATGACACAAAACAAAGGACTTAAAAGCTTTAAAACTCAAACAATACACATAAGAATTTGAAGAATACATTGTAAGTTCAACCTAACCTTGATTTTTGCTTCTCGTAACCTTGAGAATGAGGGAGTCAAAATAATTTTTTGCGTTAATCAAGAAATACTGGGGGAAAAAAATATATTTAAATGCCATGCAACTACGAATTCAGATTCACAAATATCGAATGCTGTCAAAAACAACAAACTGACAAGATTGAGACTTTATTGGATGTATGTGGAGTTTATAACAGTAAGATAAAGGGCAGTTTACACATACAATTACAAACAAACATGTGATTTGTATGAGCAACATGATTACCTGTACAATATTTCATACATGGTTTGTGTATTCTCAGTGCATAGGCATTACACACAGAGCAACTGTTGCACAGCACGATAGTATCTGAACAGGCTGAAACGGAGTAAGGCGGTTTTCTTAAAATATACGGCATTTACATTACATGAACGTAAAAACCCTCTGGGGAGAAGAATTATTTCTAATGGAGCATGGCTGAAGTCCAAAGGGCCCCCTGCTGCAAGTCTAGCTGGACGATTTAGTGCACAGTACCACCCCATCTATCCGCTTGCATGACATAATGTCCTACGACAGTTTTTAAAGCAAAATATATTTTTTTTTTTATAACTATAAACGAGAGGCACTTTGTGGCAATCACAGGCATCATAACATATTGCACAAATCAGCTAAGAAAGTGTGATGTGAAACATATACACTGGCACCTTTGATGACATTTTGTTTTTCATTAAAGCTGAAAATAAATTTTTCATGCTGCCTGTGAGCTCCACACACCCGTGCCACGTACAAGATGTCTGAGGGTCTGCGTATAAAGGTACTGTGGCTAAATTGTCAAAATGTCAAGGGATGTGACTCATGTCGCAGAGACAATCTGAGGATTAAAAGAAAAGTTCACCTAAAAATGAACATTCATCATTTACTCAGCCTTGTGCGCTAAACAAATCTTATGGTGAAACCATTTTAACTCTAGCAAAACAACATGTAACACAATGAATGAAATTTGAAATTAAGCGTAAAGACTGAAATTGTATTTTCTTGCCAAATATTCTCAGATAATTTAAAATAATTTTTACAGAGTCGTTCCAAGCCTGTATGACAAACGTTCTTCTATTTCTGTTGTCCATGAATAGGGGAACCTAACTGACTATCATTGTGTGGACAAAAACAACTGAAACATTCTCCAAAATATCTTCTTTTCTGATCATACAGGTTTAGAAAGACACGAGGGTGAGTAAATGATGACAGAATATTTTATTTGAATTCTTTAAATTTAAGTTCATCATGTGACACTTCAGTAGAGTCAATACCTGCAGAGGGTCTTGTAAATGAATGTGAATGAACACTTTTTGTTTTTCTATTTTGGGTTTTCTTTTACAAAAAAAAAAATCAGTCAAAAACAGATTTGATTCTATTGGGATGCACAGAGACTATATTAATGTCTTTTCATTTCACCTCTATTCTACTACTATTGATTGCTGTAAAGCATTTCCAGAAAGAAAAAAAAAACTGACAAAATAAAAGAAAAATAAACACTGTGGACCGCTGACTGAAACCCTGCAAAGACCTGTAACAGTGCAAATGTCTAGTACAATATGTTGCTCTATTATAGTAGCTTTAAATAAGTCAGTGCTTGGGCAGAATGGTAGGCATCGAAGCAGTAGAAGAGTAAGCATTGTCAACTTCAAGTAAGGCAAAGAATACCTCCCGTGGGCCCCGCCTCCTCCTCTGAACACAAAAACAATAAAACAAAAACGATTAAGCTTAATTTTGGCAGGTTTTCAGTGATGTGATAAAATGTAAACAAAATGAGAATCCTTGATAGGCTTTTGCTTTTATTCCTGGATTGGTTAGTGTACAATCTCATAAAGGAAGGCCCAGTCTCCTCTTCATTTCAGGGAAACGTATTCTTTCTCTAAAGGAAGGCGGGATGTACGGTGTGTGCAGTGGGCTGGTGAGAAGAGTGAAGCCTGAACGTTAACAGTACGAGAAAGGCAGCTTACTCACTACCCTTAGTGAAGATTCTTGCCCAAGAGACTGAGAAAGTTTTTTTTTTCTTTTTTTCTTTTTTGGTCTGGTCACAGCCAGATGTTAAAAAAAAAGATTTGGCATGCTTAAAAGAAAATTATACATTTAAATATTCTCATATATAGGGCTTTAATATTTCTGAAGCAAGCACAAGACTGTGTAAAATCTGTGTAGCTGCACTATGCTCATTCCAAAGGGAACGAGGCCCGTTCAAGAATAAGAATAAGAAAAAAAAAAGAACTCTAGCTAGTGAGGGACATCAAATTGTTGGAAACTAATTGATTATGCACATCAAAGTGCGACTAACAGTTACGACACACCGCAGTGCGTTTGAATGCTTGCACCATGAGGTTCTTTGCTCCAAAATGACTGCACTATACATTGAGAGCTTACAGTTTAGCAAGCACCATTGCTGGATAAATGATCCAGATTTCATTAGATCATGCACGATAAGGCTACAAACATGTTATAGGGAGCCAAAGATCTGATGTCTGACACAGCCAGGAAGAAAGAAAAACAATGTAAATGCTGTTGAAATCTAATCAAAACTTGCATTCAAGGTTGATACATTCAGAAAAGGGCTTCTCCATGTTGACATGCATTACACGAGATGCTGTACACCATCAAACCCGATCTGACCTGTGATGGCTGTAGTGAACCACAGAGCCTTCAAGCTAGATTGATCCGTATCCCAGAACACACTGAAGAATTTTACGACTGATGCTACCTTGAGCTCAAACCATGACCTTTAAAGAAGTGAAACAGAAAACAAATCATCCTGTGAGAGCCGATTTAAACAAGTGCCAATTTTGAAAGGGAAACTTATGAATTATATAAATGAAGTGTCACTGAATGACTGTTTATATATTAAAGTCCCATCTGCAGAAGAAAGAGTGATGGAAATATCTTCTTCCCAAATACAATCAAATTGTAAATGACTTTAGAAACTTTTTTTTTTTTTAGAAAAACATTGTATACTATTTATTTGGAACATGGAAAATGATTCCAATAACATGCACACCTTCGATCAACATTATTGCAACACTGGTTTCCCTGTTGTGTTGTGTATATTTGCATTAAAAAAAAAAATAATAATACATGGTGGAGCTATATGTTGTGTTTTCTGCCAAGGTGTAATGTAGTTTAGTAGAATCATTACCACCTCCGTTCTAGTAGTGGTAATGATGAAAGCAGACTGAAAAATGGCTAGCTATGCACAACAGAGCCCGACTGACACGTGGCGGCCTTCCAGCAGCATGAGAAGCATTTCACAGTAGGTAGGACAGACTAGAGAAGGACAGACATGGGGCCATGAATGCTGATTAAAGCACTGGCCTAGGTTTCAACAGGTTGATGGAGCAGCGAATTACGATCTCTACTGAATTTCTCCCATAAACGATCTCCCATCCTGACTGGGTTTCCTTTCTTGTGTTACGGCATGAACATGTATTTACATAATAGCTACTGACGCTGTTTTCCACGGAACATCAGTCTTGATACTTCATGGAGCGGCGTGAATGAACAAAAGAAAAATTGGTCAGCATTTTTGTCCCTACAACTGGTGGCATATGTGTGACGCATGTCCTAATTCTGCTTGGGAAAAAAAGAAAGAAAAAAACGGGGTGGAAAAAAAAAAAAAGTACTTGCTTTCAGTTCATATTCAAGTTTTCTCCTTTATACAACTCTATTACATATGGTTTATTTTTTTCTTCCCATAAAAATATTTCAAACTTTAGTAATCTGTTCTTCATCATACTGTTCATTTTCAGGGTCCGAGTCTGTTGTGTCCGAATACCGGTAGTGGTCCGGTTCATTATCGCTAACATCCGGGGTTACAGATGTAGAAGTGCTGGCCTCTGAGTTGGATGGTTCTTGGAACATGGAAAATGATTCCAATAACATGCACACCTTCGATCAACATTATTGCAACACTGGTTTCCCTGTTGTGTTGTTTGTATATTTGCATTAAAAAAAGTAGTAATAATAATTATAATAATACATGGTGGAGCTATATGTTGTGTTTTCTGCCAAGGTGTAATGTAGTTTAGTAGAATCATTACCACCTCCGTTCTAGTAGTGGTAATGATGAAAGCAGACTGAAAAATGGCTAGCTATGCACAACAGAGCCCGACTGACACGTGGCGGCCTTCCAGCAGCATGAGAAGCATTTCACAGTAGGTAGGACAGACTAGAGAAGGACAGACATGGGGCCATGAATGCTGATTAAAGCACTGGCCTAGGTTTCAACAGGTTGATGGAGCAGCGAATTACGATCTCCACTGAATTTCTCCCATAAACGATCTCCCATCCTGACTGGGTTTCCTTTCTTGTGTTACGGCATGAACATGTATTTACATAATAGCTACTGACGCTGTTTTCCATGGAACATCAGTGTTGATACTTCATGGAGCGGGGTGAATGAACAAAAGAAAAATTGGTCAGCATTTTTGTCCCTACAACTGGTGGCATATGTGTGACGCATGTCCTAATTCTGCTTGGGAAAAAAAGAAAGAAAAAAACGGGGTGGAAAAAAAAAAAAGTACTTGCTTTCAGTTCATATTCAAGTTTTCTCCTTTATACAACTCTATTACATATGGTTTATTTTTTTTCTTCCCATAAAAATATTTCAAACTTTAGTAATCTGTTCTTCATCATACTGTTCATTTTCAGGGTCCGAGTCTGTTGTGTCCGAATACCGGTAGTGGTCCGGTTCATTATCGCTAACATCCGGGGTTAAAGATGTAGAAGTGCTGGCCTCTGAGTTGGATGGTTCCTCCACTGTTTTTGTGAAGTACAGCTTCACCTAATGGGGGGGGGGTGAGAGGGGGGAAGCACATTTTAGTCATTTGAACATTTGTAGCTTTGAACATCTGAATGAGCCTACCACCAGTTTAACACTTAATGAACAGCAATTGGAAGGCGGTGAGCAAAAGTGCTTAACACACCTTGAAGTTTGGAGAGAAGTATCTGTTGGCTTTATCCTTATTGGCTTTATCCAAGTTGTTCTTGGTTAAAGTCAGGATTAGATGATCCTTATCATTCTCTCCATGTTCTGTGGTGTGGTTCCCATCCAGTTCCTTCACTAAACCTCCATTTTCAACCTTCTCTGAGCTCTCCTCTGGTCCAGGGATGAAGAAGGTGTTCACCCAGAAGTGAAACATCTTATCCTGGTTAACAAAAACAAATAAATAAAAGCTAAGAATGAGGAGTGTAATATGAAAGAAAAACAAATCATACTATAAAATAAGGCTTCTAGGGATGCTCATTTTGGTTCATTTTCCCGACCGACAACCGCTGCTCGTTATCCAAACATTAACCGTTAACTGATAAGATTAGAATAATAAATTAGCATTAAATAAAAACACAATGGCAAGTGTGTGACCCATTAAAAATACAACATTTTTTTCAGGGGTTTACTTTAACGTGCACACAGCAGCATACAAAACAGAGTAACAACAGAACCTGGATTCACACATCGTCAAATTATCACGCACCTGCAGCACTTCTGAGAACAGAGAAAAACAGAATAAAATAACACAGGCTAAATAAAAAGATTAAATAAATAGGCCTACACTAAATATTTTTCACTTAAATAATTTAATTATGATGACAAAATGAAAACTCACTGAATCCTTCTATGCACCTTAAAGAACCAGCAGTCTTTTTTTTTCCATCAGACATAAAAGTAAACATCAGGCCTACATCAATGCACAATGCGTCTAGTTTTTATTTTTTTAAAGTAATATGTCGACGTGCTGTGCAGATAGTCTGGAGTAGAGCTCTGCAGTCTGTGTAAATGGAGCACATCATACAAGATCAGATATTTGTCAGAGAGCTCAGGATCTGTTGAGCAGCAAATTCTCCAGCATGGTCTGTCAGTCATCTCTCCTTACTCTCGACCCGTGATCAGTCAAACTTGTGTTGGATGCAGGTAGGGCTGGGCGATTTCCCCGATTTTATAGATTAATTCGAATTTATTGTTTTGCCATGATTTTATTTTTTAGAAATCGAGGAATCGCAATTTTGAATAGAAATATTACCAAATGCTAGAATTAGACACTTTGACAATATGCCGGTGACAACAGTAAAGAGAAATGAGCAATCCAACCGCATGTCGGCGCACGTGATTAACCGCTCGCGTCTGACGCGCTCTGCAATTCACAATAAATAATAATGTATTCATTCTAATAAATTTATATTGTAATGTACTCATTCTAATATATTTTAAAAAATCGTATTTACATTGCTGGTAGGTTATCATTGCACCATAAATATAGCGCTAAGCGCCATTCACACAGATTGTGCTTTTGTGTTGACAGATGCGTTGCAGGAAGTGGAATAGGTAAAACATGCAAGAAGATGGGAGTGAACTTATGTTAACTTGAGCGCCGTGTTTTTAGAATGGCGTTTCATGCATGAGACACTGCAAGAGACGCGAGCGCAACAATCAAACACATCCATGTTTACACAGAAAAAAACAATGGAAAAGCAGCGCAATCGAATAAAAAAACCTGGAAAGAACTACTACTGTATGTCTGATATTTCATGTTTGCATCATGGTGACAGGCTGAAAGCTGCTGTTGTTTTTTTAAGAACATTTATAGGTAATAAAAGTCTACTGGTGTTATACCTTCAGTCATTATGAATTTGAATTACCTTGACTTGAGATTTTCGAAAATAATTTTCCTCGTATTATTTCTGAACACATAATATGTACAAGACAAGTTTGTACAATATGTAGTTGTAGTTTTTGCATCTTTTCTGCAAAGATATTTAACAAGTGATTTGTTTAACATTTACATCATGTTGACAAATTCATGTGTGCTGCACTTGGAATAGAATTTTCTTTAACTAAAGGGTTAGTAAAGAAAAAGTAAATTGAATCATGTTGTAGTTACATTTTTAAGTTGACTAGTTAAAAATAGTAAAAAAAATATATATAAAAAAAGAGAATCGTTCAAACATTCTGGAAAAATCGAGATTTAAAAATTTTAATTTTGCCCTAGATGCAGTGTTGAAAAGTCTGCGTTTTTTTCCACGGAACTGGGCTACTTTTAACTGTTGCCCTGGGCTGATTTTTCTCCATGGGTTAACAAATATGTAAGATATAGTATACTTTTCTTTCACCATGCAGCAAAAAAAATAAAAAATAAAAAATTATATTATATTTTAAAAAATATTTTTAAAAACTGCTTTTAAACCAATCAGTCAAAATTTTTACTTTCGGTTAATGGATAAACTGTCAATATGAGCATCCCTAAAGGCTTCATTTACAACATAAGTTTTTATTTGTATATCACATTCACAATACACATTACTTCAAAGCAGCTATTCAGAAATTCATAATGTTAATGTTTATAATAGCCTTACAGTCCACACTGAGCAGTTTAGAGTTGAGAAATAGGACAGTTTACAACGATATAAACAATTACTCCGTTGAGATTTGCCTTGTAGTATCTGTTCTGGTGCCAGATTTAAAGACATAATTCTTAATCTCAGCTACAGCTTTTGGTTTACACCCAACCCTTTCATTGAAGTATTTAAGTCAATATATAATTGGAAAAATATATATATACATGAATATATAAAATGGTTATGTAACATTAAGCTCAATGTCCAGAAAAAAATAACTACATAATGATATACCATTACTGTGATATATAATTACTCATCCTATGATAAGATTTTTGTCATACCGCCCAACCCTGTTAGAAGCCATTCAAGCGCTGATGCCAGACTTACTCATTTGTTATGAATAACCTTATCTTTTGCTTCAATCAAGTTCAAAATAAAAGTTATTATAATAAATTGAGATTAAGTACCTCATTTGTATTCATTCATTCATTTTAATTTCACTCCACTTGTAGCATTTAGAGCACACCTTCAAAAGAATTTATATTTTTATAAACCATAATATGCACCATTATATTCCATATACTAAAACAACATTTGGGTTGAATTTCAAGCATAAGCACTATATTGTGATCTATACAGATAACATGATATAAATTCATATTGTGATAAGATTTAGGACATACCACCCAACTCTTACCACAAAATTTCATGCCTAAAAAAAAAAACTGCATGAAGTACTGTAGTAAAAACTGATCTTAATCCTCACTCTTAACTTACATTAGAACATTACATTTACTAGGGCTGTGCATCACCAGCAAAGTCACGATATGTATCAAGATACAGGACTGCACTGAATTTCACCTCAGCAGAATTTAGTAAAACTGCTGTTTATTAAACATTGCATACTATAGTGCCATTTCTAACTATTGGAAGAGCAGGCAGTTGACCTCTGCATTATGAAGGGCCTCCATAACTGTACCACAGTACAATATAGGTAATAGCATATGTTTCATGTTTACATTGGGCACTCCCCATCAGGTACAATATAAATATTAAAATCATCTTAACATTGCTGGTAGGTTATCATTGCACAAATTAACACTCTCTACGTTTAAAAAATTTAAATTAGAAGAGTTCTAAACTAATGCGCTGTCTTCTGTATCAAACACACGCTCAGTCACACACACGGATCACATTGCGGCCGAACTCAAACAAACTTTTTAGCGCTGCCCCGCAATTTTATCAACTAAATAGCTTAATTGCTCAAGAGCTACATTATCTTTCTCAACAAGGAGCTGGTAACATCATTGTTTCTAAAGGAATTAATGCCACAGCTTCACTGTTAATAGAGAAACGTGGCAAAACGGTGGCAATTCATACATTACACAGCCCCTCTCTCTCTCGCTCTCATAAATGAACAGTTGATGAATTACACTTTTCTGATAATAGAATGTTGAAGTGGAGATCGCTAAACTGCAAGCCAAGCGGTGTCTTCAGAAAGCAAGCGCGTTTATCCACAGTGGAGAGAGAGCGCGTGCACATGGTTGCCAGGTTGACAAAGATAAGTAGCACACTTAGCTGATATTTCCGTTTTGCGCAAGTGTGAAGCTCTGTGTCGGGGATTACGTCTCTTTATATCAGGCAACCCAGTTGTTTTCCTCTGTCAGATTAATCCTTGTAGCCTATATATTATGCTCTATTCTTTATTTTTTAGAAACCTCACAATTTTCTACTAAATTTTAAACGGTGTTCTTGTATTCAAATTAAGCGCGGTCCACTGCTGCACACGTGCCACAATATCGATACAGGGCCAGTTGTATCGATACTCATATCGTCAAATCTCTGTAACGATACATCGTCGTATCGATCACAGCACTAACATTTACTACTAGATGCAGCAATAATGATCTGTGAAAGCACTATGGGCTGTTTGGAAACTGACACGTACCTTTTTCATCATCTTGTTCTGCTTGTGGAAGAACTCCACCTTGATGTCTCCACACACAGGCAGTGGCTGTGGAAAATCAAAGTACATGTACTTCTCCTCTCGCCTTGTGTGCGCTGGGTTAGACGTGTGGATTTTCACCTTCAGCTGGTACACCACAAACTGAGGATCTGCAAAATAAAACAATGTGTAATTGCTCTACCAGCTTTGTGCAACAGAAACAAAATGTGAGCTTATGCATATCTGTTAACATAAAACAGAAGAAAAGCAGAGGAAAACAACAGGCTAGAAATAGAAGAAATATTGATACAGAAAAGACAATAACAGTGAAACGCTAAGGGCCCTATTCTGAGAACAGCTGACCCTGGACCACACTTCCCATCTCCCTCAAATGAGGCTTTACAAATGACCACCCAAAAGTGGCGTTAGGGGCATTTACTTGTACATGGCAAACACATTTAACAGAGCAACACTGGCTAGGCTAACAGAACTGAAAATGAGAAACATTTTAGAAAAAGCTGATGTTACCCCAATGCCAATTGGTTTTTCTGAACCCATGTGGAATCTGCTCACTCTTGCTTTTTACAGCAGAATCCCCTTGGAGAAAAAGAAGGAGATTAAAGACTGTCCAGTGGCCTGGCCAGAGCAAGAGCAAGAGAGGGCACTATGAGGGGAAGAAACGTTAAAACAGAGCTAAAACACAACACATACTCATGCAACACACAGCTTTTACAGAGCTAGACTGGGCTGGACTAAAATATTAATGGCCATTTAAGACTCTATGGAGGAAACCATAAGTGCAACACCACCGGGAAGCCCTTTAGTTGTGAGGTACACTCTAAAAATCACACATAAAACACGTTACAGACATACAAGTACAAAAACAAAATATAATGGGGGATAAAAGTTCAGATTTCACACAGCAGGTTGTCTAAAGCATTATGAACAATCCAGTCCAGGAGCCGTGTAGAGCAGGCTTGGTCAGTGTCACCAAGAATGTGTTCAGAATAGGGCCCGGAGGAGGTACAGTCAGAGACAGAGAGACATGGATGTTAGGGATGCACCGAAATGAAAATTCTTGGCCGGAAAAAAAATGAAACACTGGGCCGAAAGCAGTTTTTCGAGTTTTTTTCCCCCATGTATTTTGCCCATTTTTTTCCACCACTGCATAAATTAAACAGCCAAAATGTGCTTTTTACTATTTGTCTTGCTTTTCACAGAAAAAAAATCAATTACAAAACAATAATTAAAAAATATTTAACACTGAATATTTTTTTACATTCTAGCAGACACTATACCAACAAAGCACAATTTAACTTAAAATTAATAAGTTAGTAAAATAATATTTTTTGTCCATCAGACCCTCTTCTTGAAAAAGGCGTGTAATTTTTTTAATGAATGCAGCCTTGCTGAGCACAAGAAACTTTTTAAAACATTAGAAAATATTACAGATCCCAATTTGAACACAATCTGTGAATGTTATAATACATGTATTATTAGAGCTGTTGTAATTATTATTTTCATTATTATAGTCTTACTTTTTATTTTATTTTACAGAACAACAGTAAAATTACAATACTAACATTTATGAATGTTGATGGAGTTCTTGCTTTTTCTCAACTTTTATTTTAGCGGAAACACGCAGGAAGACCTCAGTGCTTCTTTTTGTGCATGAGTCTCAATACGAATATGTTGCACGCATTGCATTGCCACATGCCTTGTAAAAATTCATAAATGTGACTGAGCAACTGACGAGTAACACTGGTTCAGCGCAGATTTTCCTCACGCTTTGAACTTTGAATCCTGGTTAACAAGCAGATCCGCCGCGAGTTCGTGCAGCGCTGTCAGAATACATGCAATTCGAGCGTGAAAACATAACTTTCTGCAGTTTATTTACTAATTGTTTAAGGCCATTTCACAATTTCAATCATCATACAGTAACCAGCAACAATCTCCCCTTCCTCTTCTCATCGAAGACATGCGCTGCAGTACTAATGATTTTTGCATCTTTCTCAGACAGTTTTAAATGCTTCCACACTGCTGTGCTGACATGTTTGTTGCACTATAAAGAGTGTGCGCCTCTCACTCTGCTCTGGTTGCTATTTGATCGCGTCATGTCATTGTTCGGTACAATTTATTTGGTCTTTTCGCTTATTTGGTTGCCAAACATTCGGTGCATCCCTAATGGATGCTACAGCGCCACTGGACAAACTCGCACTCCAGGTAAAGACTCTTTACACATTCCTGCCACTTTTCTTTAAAGATGTCAAAGTTATGTGGCTAAAGCACATATAATACTCCTGGTAGTACATTAGGTCTATCTGGATAAAGGTTAAATGTCTAGGTGCATAGCAAAAGGCAGAGGTTTGAATTTGAAGGGAAGAATTTACAGCAATTTAAGCAAATAGGAAAGCCACGAGCAGCCGTGAACACTGCCTATTAAAGCAGCGTCTTTGCACAGTTATTATGAAGAAGTGTGAGGGGGGGGGGGGCCTTGTTTTCCAGTTACAGAGACTCGGTGTACACCTGGTATTAATGTCTGATCTGACCTCAAGTGGATGGCACTGTAATAAACGTATACATGGAGGGCAAAATCTTTTTCAATGAAACCACAATGAATGGTAAGGCCATTTTACACAGGATGTTAAATTAAAATAAATTAAAGTTTATTTTCTTTACATGTTACAAAATATGTTTCAAATATATCCATAAAAGGATCCGTACCGTAAAACCGGTATAATTTCGAAGAATACCGTGATATAAATTTGTGGTCATACCGCCCAGAGACTCGGTGTACACCTGGTATTAATGTCTGATCTGACCTCAAGTGGATGGCACTGTAATAAACGTATACATGGAGGGCAAAATCTTTTTCAATGAAACCACAATGAATGGTAAGGCCATTTTACACAGGATGTTAAATTAAAATAAATTAAAGTTTATTTTCTTTACATGTTACAAAATATGTTTCAAATATATCCATAAAAGGATCCGTACCGTAAAACCGGTATAATTTCGAAGAATACCGTGATATAAATTTGTGGTCATACCGCCCAGCACTACCTTAATGCCTAATTGTCCACATTTAGCAGTTTAGAGCTGGGAAACAGAATAGAGATTGATTGAATTGGGTGTACGTGCACTGCTTGCGTGCCGCCAACAAACTGCCTGTGATTTACCATGTGCATCTCATCGAAACAGACCCAGTTCCTTTTGTGACTGGCACATCCTATGTGAAACTGCCAGCAGTTAGAAATGCATGTGCTCACGTCGCATTTGTATGGTAAACACTAATGCTTTCAAGGGCCTCCAACTCACCTATCCACCATGCACCAAGTTAAAACGAGAGTCTTAAACTTTGCCGGTTACATGTCATTTTAAAAGAAAATAATCACAAAAGTTTGAAAAGTCCATACTTGTCACAGAAGACACATGCGAGATGCAAGTAATACCAGGTGTAAACACCAGTATGTCTCACCTGAGCACTTAAGATCAAATAGCCCATAACGGATGACAATACAAAGTATAAACAACACTGCTAGAAAGGAAAAGAAAAAAAAAGGGAGCTCACTTACTGCAAGTCCCTCCACTGAACATAGGCACTGTCTCAAACACCATCTTGTGAAAGAGCAAGGCCACAGGTTTGTACTCCAGCTTATTCTTCAGAAGGTAGCTATAGTAGTACACATATCGCCTCTGACTGGGAATAGTCACTCCCTGTGATACAGCAAACCTGTAGTGTTAATGCAAACATCTCCTCCGTGGCCTCAACACAACACAACACATTTGCATCATACTTCCGTAAAAGGGTGCAGCAGTTGGGTTCCAGAAGTAAAAATCCCACCCATTTTCTCCAAAGGGGAATTGATTTTTAACAATTATTTACAAACCTTTAAAGACTTATAAACCTTTAAAAGTAATCTACAAGGTTGTAAATATATGGTATATGCTTTTGTTGATACCATCAGCCCACATTATTCAAGATAAATTATGTAATAATTTGACAATACCTGGTAAAAAAAACAAAAAACAAACAAACATACTACATGACACTGCAAAGAAATCTCAACCAATCAGAGAATCGAAACAAGCAAACCATGCCCAAGGGCTACACAGCACCCACCCACACATAAACCAATACATAATAGAGTCAGTCTCCCTAAGATCTCAAACTGATTAAATATTTTTATATACAAATATTTTGCAATAAAAGTAAAATATTGTTTCTATAAATCAACATCTTCAAAATCAATCATTTGATATTTCTCCATTGCTTTTAATTTGATATTTCTCCATTGCTTCTAATTTCATTAGGTCATTTGCAATGCTTCATAGGATTGTAGATCTTTCCCTTAATAAAGTACACAGTCTTGTACCTTTGCCTTTTTGTTTGATATTCAAATACTTTTTTGCTTCAAATCTAAGTTTGTAAGGTTGTGATTCACCTCATAGCTGGTTGGTTTAATTAATGGCATACAACTTTTTTTAATGCCATTTTTTGATCCTCTACAAGAAAAATACTTCCAGAACAAAGGTCACTAAAAAAAGTGGATGGGCACTGTTGCACTCCACAGAAGAATACTCAGGGGGGAAATTATGTAGGTCAGTAGATTTTTTTTTAGGTTCAAAACATTTCACTGTAACATTATTATTATGATAGTAATAACACATATACATAATTATACATCAGCATGGGCATTGCTTTCATTGACATGAAAATGTATCAAAACATTTATCCTTTAATTTACATTTGTATAGAAAAACTTAATTCACAACTTGAGTTTTTTGGGAAAGGAAAAAAAGCAAAAAAATATATACGTCACCTTCTTGTCTCTGGTTCTAACTTCACCATAGAAGTCCAGAGCCTCTTGTGCTTTTTTGAATTTGCCTCGGTGTAACAAGTATGCACATATCATGACACCCGTACGTCCCTTTCCAGCTTTGCAGTGAATGGCAGCCACATGATTGTCATTTTCACTGAGCCACTTATCCAAATCTTCACAGAAAGGTTTAATAAGTTCTAACTGAGGAGGATTGTGATCCTCAAACGGATACTGTGCAACTGCAAGAGAAAAATAAAGAGTTCATTGAGACCTTCATTACCAAATTTCAAAACCATCTGTAAATGGCAGATTTATGCAATCCAAGTATCTTACCTCTGCAGTTAAATTTGGCAGTATCATAATGTCTTTCCGCACATCTAAACAATACAAAGAAACAGATAAGTACAGAAGTTCAACGTAACATTCCTGCTTAAGAACTTTGCATCAATGCCAAAACCAACAGAACATTCACAGCTAAATAACAGACCTATGTGCAATGACAATGCCTTCCATTCACAATGATCAAGCAGCTTGTTTTCTTTAATGTTCAATTGAACATGATTGCAGCTTTTCTGCTTTTAACAGCAAACTGGAGGAAATGTTCTAGCAGTAATAGCATTTGACAGAACTGAAGTTATTTGAAACACACTTACAGATTATATATCTTGTAATGATTTTTATGCTTCAAATCCAAGAATCTGCAGAAAGAGCACAACAATTACTTTCCCAGACAATCACGGTTGATTTTGGTTAAAGGAAGAGTTCACACAAAAATTAAAATCCAAAGACTTTTGTTCATTTTCAAAACAAAGATATAAATCAAGAAACCAGAGAGATTTCTGTCACTCCATTGAAAATCCATTCCACCAAATTTTTGATGCTTCAAGAGGTTCATTAAGACGTTTTAACATTATGCACCAGAATCGATAAATTCAATCCAAGTTTATATTCACATAGAAACATTGATCAACGCACATACATAAATCATATTGGTTACAGTAATCAACCGTACCCGCTTCACATGCGAGACCAACCCTTACTGTTCTTGCAGAAGATGAAATGTGCTTGCCTGACACGTGAGAACAAACCTCATTGCTTCTTCCATTTACCATATTTGATGTGCTTTATCCATCTGCATTGATCAATGTTTATATATGAATAAAAATCTAAATTAAATATTTTATTGCAAAATTAAAACCGTCATATTATAAAGTGATCACGTCTAAATTTTTATTAAATCACTTGATTCATATAGATATTTTACAATAACATTCTGAAATTTTTGACATGCCAAAGTTTTGGTGGAATGGCAGGACAATAATCTCATCAGTCTCAAACTCCCACAGACCCAATAACAAGATCACAATCATGACAACACACCCCGTTAGCATCAAATAACGCCTAATTAAAAGCAAACTTATTAGAAAAACGAACACTTGAACATACATCAGCATGATAAGAACTAGGGGTGGGCGATCTTCCCAAAATATCATATCACAATCTTGTCACACAAAATCACGATCTGAATTGCGATCTTCCCTATTTTGAGATATATAATGTTTATATATGAATAAAAATCTAAATTAAATATTTTATTGCAAAATTAAAACCGTCATATTATAAAGTGATCACGTCTAAATTTTTATTAAACCACTTGATTCATATAGATATTTTACAATAACATTCTGAAATTTTTGACATGCCAAAGTTTTGGTGGAATGGCAGGACAATAATCTCTCATCAGTCTCAAACTCCCACAGACCCAATAACAAGATCACAATCATGACAACACACCCCGTTAGCATCAAATAACGCCTAATTAAAAGCAAACTTATTAGAAAAACGAACACTTGAACATACATCAGCATGATAAGAACTAGGGGTGGGCGATCTTCCCAAAATATCATATCACAATCTTGTCACACAAAATCACGATCTGAATTGCGATCTTCCCTATTTTGAGATATACTATTGAGAATATCCAGAGTGGAACAAGCCTATGACTTACCTATTTGAACTAGGGATATAAATTTTCAATGCAATTTTGCAATGTTTTCAACTGACATTATGGCATTAAAAATAAAATGATCCCAAACGTAACTGTGGCGTGTGTGGCTGTGCTGCAGTCAGTGAACCGCTTCCATCGGCGCTGCTGCAGCAAAACACACTGTTGCTCACATGAAACATTATCATGTGAGTATTATGACCAGTACTTAATTTGATCCTGCTGGATCCTGATCCGGAAAATGTCAGATTTAGAATTTTTGCGTTCCGGTAGGCCTATTTGTTTTTAAAAATCTAGCATTTACAGTGCATTATATCATGACAGTGCGTGCTTGCGTGTACGAGGACGGAGCGAGCATGGGTTTGGCTAGATTTATTTGGAGGTTATTACTCACGTCTCATTCGGCACAAATCCAAATGTTTCAAAATTCACAATGTATTTGAATGTTAAACTATTATTTATAATGTAAACTAGGCTTGTACTTTACACGCATTCGCATATAGAAGGAAA